ACAGGTCCACCCCTTTAAAAATTATGGTCATTTATAACCATTGTTATATATAATAATAATAAGGTAAAAGGACCCCAATGGAAATAAGTCACTCTGTCTGACTTTTATGGGTTATCCTAGGTTCTCTACACATATGCTGCTATGTATGATAATTTATGTAGCCGTATTTGTGTATACCTGAATAAATTTACTTACTTACTTACTTACTTACTTACTTACTTATTAGTAGTAGTAGTAATAGCAGTAGTATATTAATTTTAAAGGGAAAGTGGGATCAAAATATCAACTTTAATATTTAAGCGACGTATTGACGGCTTCAGCTGGACATTAATTCTCATCCAGCACAAAGAACACTTTTCTCCATAATAAAAACAACTCTGTTTATTATATTCTTTAACAAACTGTTAACAAAAGCATCAATAATTACATTACTTAAGTTCCCTTAATAGTTACAATGGATTAATAAGCGTTAATTTATATTTCTTGGTGGGAAACAAGGGTGACTGTAGTGGATGGGAAGGAGCAGTTGTTTGTGTCGGGGAGAGATGTTGCACGGCAGATTATTTAGGGCTTATGTAGGCCTATGTAGGCACTGTAGGCCTCAGAGGGCCTACCATAATGACACTGCCAACATTGTTGGATCTACACCTGATAAAACATCCCCGGAATTCCAGGTGTGTATCGAACAATTAGCAAATTAACCGGTAGCCCCTTCACCGGTGAGGGGCTCTTGATCCAGGGAATTGGACCTGACATCTCCTTCCTTGGATCAAATATGATTGCCTCCCATTCTCTAGGTTCTGCATTATACCTACGGGTTTAGTTCTTTTAAATATTTTAAGGTTCTCCCCCCCACCTCGACCCCTTCAAGGGAGGTTCCTTGACGCTGGTGAGGGGCTCTTGATCCAAAAAATTGGATCTGCGCTCCAGTTTCTTGAATTGAGCCTGAATACCTTCCTTACCCTCACAGGCACTGTATAATCCTTAGAGGTTTAGCGCTCCTCCCTAATCACCACCTTGAAAGGTTCCTTTACAGAGAGGAGCTCTTGATCCAAGGAATTGGACATGCCATGTAAATAACCCTGAGGGTGTATTCAGTTTATGCCATTTGTAGCAAAATGTCCGTTCATTTATTTGCAGATGTTTGTATTCCATGTGACTGACCAATTTGTGTATTTTATTATATATTACTGATTTCTACTATCTTCCAGCTAGATCCATCAAGGGAGGTTCCTTGATGCTGGTGAGGGGCTCTTGATCTAGGGAATTGGTTCTGTGCTCCAGTTCCCTGAATTGAGTCTGAATACTTTCCGTCCCCCCCCCACATGCGCTGTAATCCTACGGGTTTAGCGCTCCCCCATGATTATATTATAACTTCCAGCAAGGCTTTAAATAATAATATATTACAAAGATCACAATGGAAATAATTCACACTGACTTTTTTGGGGTTATCCTGGATAATTTACACTGTGTGATAATTGTACCTGTGCCTCAATAAACTTACTTGGGATAAGTGTACTTATGTTTACCTGTATTAAATAAACTTACAATAATTGTACCTAAATAAACTTACTTATTTACTAAGTTTGTGTGCTTTTGCCAGAACAGATTTTAAAAAAATGGGATTTTTTTTTCCATGTTTTCCTCATTCTACCTTGGGAGACAATTTTGTGATATAAAAAAATCATTTAATATTTAAAAAAAAATTATCAGAGAAAATTAGGGTTGATGAGAAATTAGTGGGATGAATCATTGAATTATGGTCAGATAACCCACACTTAGTGCAGGTTATTTGTGTATTGTTCCATCCACGATATTGTGACCTTTTATTCATTGTGAATTATATTTTACAGGAAAATGAATCTCGCCTGAAAGCATTAGTGGATGAACTACGTGGGCGGATTGGCACCATTACTCTTGGGGGTGGAGAAAAGGCTATTCAACGACATAAGAGCAAAGGTCGCAGCAGCTGTTGCATGAATAATTTTTTATATATGTACCGTATGAATATTAAGTTTAAGAAATAAAGCATTGTAATCAGTGTCTTAAGTAGCATATGATAATATCAGTGTGGATGAAGTTGCCATATTCATTACATGTTATCAATTATAGCAGTAGTATTTAACTTTTTAATAATAATTATATTAATAAACTGTAACACCAACTAGTTACCTAGTGTATAAAGGCAAAGTTACTTTCATGTTAAATGCTGTTGCTGTAATGGATGTACACCACTGCTCCATCCTTGTATAACCAGAAAATTCAAAATTTTGTGGGTGTCCTGATAAGCTAAAATTTGACAAGATGAAGTCCAAATGGAGATAAACATGAACTACAGTAAGAAGATTTGTTTGATTTCCAATTGAGGCCGCCTTCAGTATTGGCAGAAAAGGACCTCAGTTGGAGGTTGAAATATACAGATTGATATTTTTTTAGTCTGTGGGTTTCATCTCATCAGTCTATGAATTTACCCTTCTTTAATTTCCTGCAGGCAAGCTTTTAGTTCGAGAACGCATCAGTCAGCTGATTGACCCAGGCACTCCATTTCTTGAAATGTCACAGTTGGCAGGATACCAGCTCTATGGCAAGGAGGATGTTCCAGCAGGTGGCATCATTACAGGGATTGGCAAGGTTTCAGGGTAAGGGTTGTTTTTTCTTGGGAAAAAAAATATTTTTGGTCTCCAAGGAAGTCTGGCCAAAGAAGTAAAACTCCCAAAACCAGTCAAGTGTATTTAAAAAATACATGCAATACTTCTATTTACAAATGCCCTAAGTTACAACCATTACATCATGAATGAACAAAAGCACCATCCACTCGAAAACTATGTCCCTACCTGCTAGTAACAATTCTTTCTCATTAATCATCAATCCCAGCTGTTTTACCCCCTTTCATTTTACCCACTGCATTATGCACCTCCCACACACTCCTGGCTCTTCCTCACTCCTGAAAGTGTTATACCTTCCTGGCTAATGTATGAAATCACTGTTTCCCTTTCTTCATCAACATTTAACAGCTCTTCAAAATATTCCCTCCATCTTTTCAATACCTCCAACTCCCTATCTAATAATTCCCGTCTTCTGTTTTTCACTGTCAAATCCATTTGTTTCCTAGGCTTTCTCAACTTATTAATCTCACTCCAAAACTTTTTCTTATTCTCAGCAAAATTTGATGATAAAACCTCCCCTACTTTCTCATTTGTTCTCTTTTTACACTTTCTCCATAAACCTCACCCTCCCTCAAATTTTATAATATTGCAATAATAATGTATAGGTACTTGTCCATAGTGTGGAATGTATGATAGTGGGAAATGACGCGACTGTGAAGGGAGGGAGCTATTACCCCATCACTGTCAAGAAACACTTGAGGGCACAAGAAATTGCTCAGGAAAACAACCTACCTTGTTTGTACCTGGTAGACTCCGGTGGTGCCAACCTTCCACGTCAAGCTGATGTCTTTCCTGATCGGGATCATTTTGGCCGCATTTTCTTCAATCAAGCCAACATGTCATCTCTTGGCATAGCACAGGTGGGCTACTTGGTATTATAATGATCATGCCAAGATTGTTTATTTATTTATTTATATTAATCAACTTAAGCGGTTCTAGTCTTTTTGTAGATGTAACGTGTAACAAAAAATGTTAAGAGTACTCAGCTTTATAATTGACGTCAGATTAATATGGACCAAAATTAATTCCATCTACTATTCAAGAGAGAGAGAGAGAGAGAGGGGAAGGCTTTTCTACCACACTGTTTAAGGTGTTTTAATGTTGGTGAAAGACTTTATTCAAGAAATTAAGAACTAACCTTTCATTCAACAGATCAACTCTGATTGCCCTCTCAGTCTGAGGACTGGGAGAGCAGTCAGGCTGCATTAATAAAGCAAAATACACATCATGCTTTGTGACCATATTTTTTATAAATAATTGACTATGCTTTTTTTTTTTCAACACACCAGCCGCATTTCACTGAGGCAGGGTGACCTAAAGAGAAAAACGAAAGCTTTTTTTTTATTCAGAAAAAGAAAAATGAAAGAAAAAAAGAAAAACAAAAGAAAAAAGGAAAATGAGAGAAAAAAAGAAAACCAAACTTTTTTTTTTTTTTTTAAAGAAAAATGAGTTTTTGTTTTTAGGTGAACCTAAGTCTTTACTCACATTACTTTCAAACTTTTTTTTTATTGCAGATTGCTGTTGTTCTAGGCTCTTGTACTGCTGGAGGTGCCTATGTACCAGCCATGGCTGATGAATCCATCATTGTGAGAAAACAAGGAACCATTTTTCTAGCTGGGCCACCACTTGTCAAGGCTGCCACTGGAGAGGAAATATCATCAGAAGATCTGGGAGGAGCTGATTTACATTGTGGGTAGGTAACTGTATCAAAAAAGAATAAAAAGGCACAATACCATGACTACAACAATACAGTAAAACCCCATCACAGACCAGGCCACGGGGGTGTTGACCCCCAGAACTCTCTCCGGGTAAACTCCAGGTAAACCTGTGATAAAGTTAAATTGATAAATTACACGAAATAAGTTGAGAATTAGCACTTTTACTGATGGGAAGCACTTCACAACTTCTTTTAGGCTTTGAAAGACTTTTGCACTTTGGTGTCATTATTAAGCAAAATTAAGGGTTATTTTCAGGCCAGGATAAATAGCGGAATAACTGAAACCTCGGAAACTGGGCACCATGGATACAGCGGTCCTGCTGTACACAAATAACACTCACATAGGAGAAAGAAACTTAGAACGACGTTTCGGTCCATCATGAGTTTCTTTCTCCTCGTGTGCAGGTTATTTGTATAACTGTATCAACTTAACCCTTTCAAGGTTGGTGCCATACTAGTACGGCTTGCACGCCAGGGTTGGTGCCGTATTATTACGCATAAATTCTAGCGCCTTCAAATCTAGCGAGAGAGAGCTGGCAGACCTACATATGAAAGAATGGGCCTATATGGTCAGTGTGTACAGTATAAAAAAGTTCCTGCAGCACACAGTACATAATGAGAAAAAAAAACTTCGACCATGTTTTTGGTTTAAAACAGCGACTTTGCAGTGTATTTTTGTATGCTATTTATGGTTGTATTCTAGTTTTCCTGGTCTGATTTTATAGAATGGAAGACATATTATGGAAATTGAGATGATTTTGATTGGTTTCACAATGAAAAGTACCTTGAAATTGTGCTCAAAGTAGCAGAAATGTTCGATTTTTGCCAAAGTTCAATAGTAAACAAGTCATGCCACACGTTCAGTACACGTCAACTGGTGAGTCTGATATTCTTTTACAAGTGCGCTGATATTATTTATACCATTTCTACACTAATGCAGTAGTCTGCATAACAGTAAATCTTCTATTTTATGTGAGAATAAAAATTCAAAGTGGAAAGGAAAAGAAATGTAACAGAGGCCTGGGGATGTGACTAATGAAGAGAGGAAATGTTATTTTAGTGCCAGGAATGTCTGTCTTGTTTATTCTGGACCCTATTTTGAAATTGGCATCTTTTGAAATTTGTGTGAGATTGGCAAAATTGCCAATTTCTGACCACTTTATTGGATATTTGAAATGTGTAAATGGGCGGTTTCTTGTACTCATTCAATAGGAAAAATGGAGTTCTAACGAAATAGTTATGATTTTTATCGACTGGTACATGGGAATTGGCCGAAAATATGGCTCAAAGTGGGCGAAATCGCCTATGCGTAAACATCGGTGAGACTGCTAACTTTGCAAGAGCATAATTCCATAAGTTTTCCATCAAATTTCATACTTTTGGTGTCGTTATGATCGGGAAAAGATTCTCTATCATTTCATAAGAAAAATAATTTTTTTTCCGATCCCGAGAAAAATAATTTTTTTTTTCCGACCCTGAGAACAAGTTTAGGAGAGGGCCTGCCAACCCTGAAAGGGTTAATGCACTCATTTTCCTGGGAATCCATGCATATGACTATTTCCATGGTGATATAGATTTTCAGTTGGCTTAGCTGTTTGTCATAAAAAATTATTTTACATATGTTTGTAAACTATTAACCCTTTCAGGGTTTCGGCCGTACTAGTACGGCTTACGCACCAGGGTTTTGGATGTACTAGTACACCTAAATTCTACCGCCCTCAAATCTAGTGAGAGAAAGCCTATATATGAAAGAATGGGTCTATGTGGCCAGTGTGTGCAGCATAAAAAAATCCTGCAGCACACAGTGCGTAATGAGAAAAAAAAAACTTTGACCATGTTTTTGGATTAAAATAGCGACTTTGCACTGTATTTTCGTATGGTATTTATTGTTGTATTCTAGCTTTCCTGGTCTCATTCTATAGAATGGAAGATATATTACTGAAATTGAGATGATTTTGACTGGTTTTACAATGAAAAGTACCTTGAAATTGAGCTCAAAGTAGCAGAAATGTTCGATTTTTACCAAAGTTCAAAAGTAAACAAATCATGCTAAGCATCCAATACACGTCAACTGGTGAGTCTAATATTTTTTCACAAGTGCGCCGATATTATTTATACCATTTTTTACACTAATGCAGTAGTCTGCATAACAGTAAATCTTCTATTATTTTTGAGAATAAAAATTCAAGGTGGAAAGCAAAAGAATGTAAGAGGGGCATTGGGATGTGACTAATGAACAGAGGAAATGTTATTTTAGTGCCAGGAATGTCTTTCTTGTTTATTCTGGACCCTACTTGGAAATTGGCATGTTTTGAAATTTGTGTGAAATTGGCAAAATTGCTAAATTCTGACCACTGGATTGGATAGTTGAAATCGGTAAATGGGTGGTTTCTTGCACTCATTCGATAGAAAAAATGGAGTTCTAACGAAATATTCATGAGTTTTGTCGACTAGTACAGTGGAATTGGCCGAAAATAGGGCTCAAAGTGGGCAAAATCACCGATGCATAAACATTGTCGAGACCGCTAACTTCACGAGAGCATAATTCCATAAGTTTTCCATCAAATTTCATACTTTTGGTGTCATTATGATCGGGAAAGGATTCTCTATCTTTTCATAAGAAAAATTTTTTTTTTTTTTTTTTTTTTTTGAAATTTGGGCGACCCTGAGAACAAGTCTCTGAGAGGGCCTGTCGACCCTGAAAGGGTTAAAGTATGATCCGGTAAAATATTTTGCAGCTTATAACTTGGCATATAAATTCTTTAGAATTTATATGGCAAACTATGTGCTATTACATTTCATTATGTATACAGTATTATATATTTAGTTTTTTATACGTTTCTACCTACATGAGGAGAACCAGGCTCATAGTGTCCCATTTTCAGTATTTAATTTATCATATACATGTAATTTTCTTAAAGTTGATATATTTATAGTTCATTTTTTTTTTTTTGTAAGTTTGTAGATTGGTCAAGTTCCTGTTGTGATTCCCAGTCAGTTAAAACTGAATTTTTCAGAAAATCTGGTGTTACTGATCATTACGCTCTGGATGACACACACGCCCTTCACTTAGCGAGGAGAATTGTACGCACTCTCAACCGCACAAAAGTTCCTCAAGTGAGTTTCATGTACTTCACTGGTTTCCAAAATAATACAGGCATTGCATGATTCTTATTTGTTTAGCACTTTCCTTTGAATATAATGATACAGTACCTCAGAATATGAAAATATGCTACATTGATGAACATATTTTGTTCAACAGTTCTGCTGAATCATTAAGAGTTCTAATTGGTTTATGCCATGTTTTCTTTCAGACTTCTATTAGAGAAGTTAGAGAACCTGTGTTTGATGCTCATGACCTCTATGGTATTGTTGGTGACAACCTCAAGAAAACTTATGATGTAAGGGAGGTGATTGCTCGAATTGTTGACGGATCAGAATTTGACGAATTTAAGGTAGGTAATGTCATGTACAGTGGACACCCAACTTACGATATTAATCCATTCCTGAGAGCACATCATAAGATGAAATTATTGTATGTCAAATTAATTTTCCCCATAAGAAATAATGGAAATCAAATTAATCCGTTCAAGACACCCAAAAGTATGAAAAAAAAAATTTACCGCATGAAATGTACATTTTCCTACACACAAAAAGAAAGATACATGCACGATATATATTGTGCATGTACTAGTGTACTAAATGAAGAATAAATGACACTTACCTTTGTTGAAGATGTAGTGATGAGACACTGTGTCCTGGGAGTGCCTTTTCCTCCTGAGCAATGTAGGTCCTGTTTGGCATTTTCTTCCAGAACAGGCCTTATCACACTGTGTATGCCACTACGATTCTTAAATTTCTCAAACCAATCTTTGTTGGCCTTAAATTCATCAGTATGAGCACTGGTTTCAGGCATTTTTTCCTGTTCACCTGGGTGTTAGTCGACTGGTGTGGGTCGCATCCTGGGGGACAAGATTAAGGACCCCAATGGAAATAAGTTAGACATTCCTTGATGACACACTGACTTTCTTGGGTTATCCTGAGTGGCTAACCCTCTGGGGTTAATTGTTTCTCGGTATTCTCGGTAAGCCACACCAATAACAATTTCTCCACATCTTCGAGTAGTACAGCTGACCGTGGTGCAGCAGCAGCTGATGGTGCTACAGCAGCAGCTGACCGCAGTGCAGCAGCAGCTGACTGTGGTGCAGCAGCTGATGGTGCTACAGCAGCAGCAGCAGCAGCAGCAGCTGATGGTGCTACAGTAGCAGCAGCAGCTGACAGTGCTACAGCAGCAGCAGCTGATGGTGCTACAGCAGCAGCAGTAGCAGCAGCTGACTGTGGTACGATAGTATATCAATAGTATTTCTCACCCTTTTTACCACAGGGTTGGCACTTGAAGCTTTCTTTGGGCCCATGGTGGCTTATTTAGCAGTTACAAGCACTAAAAACATTGGAATAATACAAAATTTATCGAATGTATGCGTTTATCCGTCTGCCCCGGCTTGTAAACAATGTCACACTAGCTCAGCTGAGGCGCTTAGGCCAGATGGACCAGATGGCCGCGTTCAGGACGAGTGATATAAGTCGAGTTTTTCAACATAGGTCGGGGTCAAATTTTTACATTGACAAGCATCGTAAGTCGGTTTTAACGTAAGTTGAGGACATCGTAAGTCGGGGTCCACTGTATTTACTTATATATTTCTTTCTTGTAATCTGCAATCTTCATATACAAATAATTTATAATATTGTTACCATATTTTCTTATTTTTTGGGGGGTAGGAGGGGAATATAAAGAGAATGGTGAGGAATAGGAGGATGAAGTGGGTGTTGTAAATTTGGGGTGGAAGGTAGAAGGGGTGTGGGTTCTCTTGGAAATGGTTGAAGGGAAGGGGTAAAAGAGGCTTTGAGTTGTAAGGGTTGGAGCATCGAGCAGGCTTCTGTGAGTGTTTGATAGGAATGAATGGAGATTAGCAGTTTTTAGTGGATGTGCTGTTGAAATGTAAACAAATAACATTTATGAAGGCATTCAGTAGGGATTGGATGATACCAGAATTTTTGCCGATGTTGATACCTTCAGATTGGCAGATACCCACCATTATTGATACTCTGTTTTAGGCCAGTAACACTGCCACCAAAATTGACTTGTACCCACCGACGCCGATACACTTTGTTATGCCCATAGGATTCAGGGGAAACTGGTTTGCTGGGTTTGAGTTTTGGAGGCAAAAAGGGCAGTGTTTGCATCCTGAAGGAGGATTGAGGATGTTAGAATCAGAGGGATAATCTGATTGTAATATCAGCACACTTCTGGAAAGAAGGAGATTGAGTGAATGTTGACAAAGGTGTTTGTTTCCTTGAGTCACATTGCCTTGATGGGAGATAGCTGTTCCATTAAAAACAAAAATTAAGATATACAATATAACCATTTTGTTTCAAAATGAGTTTTTAATGTGTTATTCCAAGGCACGTTATGGAGAGACACTGGTATGTGGATTTGGCCGCCTGTATGGCTATCCTGTTGGCATTATCGGCAACAATGGTGTGCTCTTCTCAGAGTCTGCAGTTAAAGGAACACACTTCATTGAACTTTGCTGCCAGCGGAGGATACCTCTGATTTTCTTACAGAACATTACTGGTGTGTTACTCTGTAATATTTAATGTTGTACAGTATTTACATTTTGCTTATTCTAATTAATATTTGGTTGGTCAGTAATTGTTATCATAAGTAAGTAATATTATATTCACAAATATTTCATACTAAAGAGTGCATATTCTCAACTTCTTTTAATAATCCATCAAAATGTGAGTTAATAAACATTTTAACATATTTCAGGTTTTATGGTTGGCCGTGATGCAGAGGCTGGCGGGATTGCTAAGAATGGAGCTAAGATGGTAACAGCTGTGGCTTGTGCGAAGGTTCCTAAATTTACTGTTGTAATTGGGGGCTCTTACGGTGCTGGCAACTATGGCATGTGTGGTAGAGCTTACGGGTAAGCTATTGTCAAAGTACTGTGACGTTAGCATAATTTCTGTTTTTTCAGCCCACAGGTCGTATCCCATCGAGGCAGGGTGACCTAAAAAGGAAAAGGAAAGTTTTTCTTTTTAGGTAAACTATGCAAGAGATTATAAAAAAGAAAAACAAAAGTTTTTCTTTTTACATTTCGTAATTCATACAGGAGAAGGGGTTACTAGCCCCTTGCTCCTGGCATTTTAGTCACCTCTTAAAACACGCATAGCTTATGGAGGAAGAATTCTTTTCCACTTCCCTATGGAGATACTATTATTTTGCTGGTATGAAATCGTGTCATTGGGGGTCATTTTGGTTTTGATGTCTGCACTTGTTTGGAGACACAAGAGCGAGGGAATGTTATACCTTTGATATACCTTTGAAGAGTTTCAAGGGTTTCACTACTCTCAGAGCTTGGCCATGGGCCAGGCTTGTCTGGTGCTTGTCTGGTCAACCAGGCTGTTGCTGCTGGAGTCCTGCTGCCCCACATATCCATCACAGCCTGGTTGATCTGGCACCTAGTAAAGATACTTGTCCAGTTTCCTCTTGAAGGAAACCATACCAAGGTCCGGGATAGAACCCAGTGTCAGAGGGTCATAAAACTCCAGACCGACACGTTAGCCACTGGGCCAGCTGGCTACAATAAGATTCATCCAACTATGTATATTTCTATACCATAGGAAGGTTAGCATAGGCACCACTGTGACCACAAATGCAAGTTTTTACACTGTGACCACAAACTTGCATTTGTGGTCACAGTGGTGCCTATACAAACCTTCCTATGGTGTATAAATATACCTAGTTGAATGTATCTTATTGTAGCCAGCTGGCCCAGTGGCTAACGCGTCAGTCTGGAGTTTTATGACTCGGATTGCAGGTTCTATCCCTGCCCATGGTATGGTTTGTTTGCAATCGTGTCATTATAATTTCATGAGTCATGATTCCTCTTGAAGGCTTCTACACTTGTTCCAGCCGTGTTTCTGATATCTTTTGGTAAGATGTTGAATAGTCCGGGACCCTGAATGTTGATACACTGTTCCCTCATTGTCCCCACCACACCCCTGCTCCTCACTGGGTTTATTTTGCACTTACATATCTCTCACTCTAGTACAGTATGTTGTTACGGCAGTGTGAAGATTTGGGACCAGCCCCTCGAGTACTTTCCAGGTATATGTTATCATGTATTTCTCCTCCACTCCAGTGGTGGGTGAGCTTCCTGCCTTGTATCACCCAGTCTTGACTTGAATTTGCAAATCTGTCAGAAAACAGTCCTTCATAAATCTCTAATCATTGCAGTGATTTTTTCACCCTGAAAGGCTTGTTTAGTACATGATGAATTGTTAACAGATGCAAGCAGTTAACACAAGATAGACGAGTTAACAAAACCTAACAGTATGTAAAAGAGGATGGAGTGATGTATGTGAGGAGTGTTAGTACTGAAGACTTTAAGATGCTTCATTAGGAAAGGAATACATTGAGATGTTCTTTAGCTGCATAATGATAAATAATTGTAATTAATTAAATATACTGATAAATACATAAAATCTTATTAACTTACATTTTACTTTTAATATATCTAGCATAATTGGAATAAAAGAATTCTCTGTAAGCCATGCATGTCATAAGAGCAACTAAAATGCCGGGAGCAAGAGTCTAGTAACCCATTCTCCTTTATGAATTACTAAATTTAAGAAGAAAAACTTGAGTTTTTTTTTTAGGTCACCCTGCCTTGGTGGGATACAGCCAATTCGTTGAAAAAAAATGGAATCAAAGGTTAGGCATTTTAATATGGCTACTGATAAGAAAGTATGTATTGACAATGTGTTGGAAGAATACTCCTCTCATAAAGAAGATTTGAAGAATTTAGTTTGAAAATGGAAATATTGTTATTGAAAATAAAGATGAGATATTCTGCTGACATCACATACAAGGAGTAGCTTTATCCAGAGCAGCTAAGAATTATTTTAGTGATCCTTTTACATATGATTTCACTGACTAGTATAAATTTTCATAAAGGTTCTGAGTACATATAGATGTGGATATACTTTATTGACATGTGTAGATTTTACCTAAAATTACCTAGGATACTTGTCCCTGCATTTAACATCGTGTTTTCTTATGCAGTAGTTCATTGAATAGTTTGTGTTTACATAAAAAGGACATGTAGACCATTACATTTTAACTTTGTGGAGAAAAACAGCTCAATATTACCTAATCTGAATACTGTAAAAAACGTCATTAATCTTTTAACAGTTATTGAAATACCAGTACATTTGCAGGCCCAGGTTTTTATACATGTGGCCAAATAGTCGCATTAGTGTAATGGGTGGTGAGCAGGCAGCTGGAGTGCTGGCACAGATCACAAAGGAGCAGAGACGTAGAGAAGGTAAAGAGGTAAGATATTAAAACATATTTACGAAAGCAATAAGTTGTCCTCAAAATTAGGCATCAGGGTATAACTTCATAGCTGTCATTAACATTGGCTGGCAGAGAGAATTTAACAGTGCTCAACACATTAAATCATGCATCCACTTCTACAAAAATTTCATAGCCTCTACAATAGATTTTTTTATTAACACATCGGCCATTTCCCACCAAGGCATGGTGGCCCGAAAAAGAAAAACTTTCATCATCATTCACTCCATCATTATCTTGCCAGAGGCATGCCTACACTACATTTATAAAACTGCAACATTAACACCCCTCCTTCAGAGTGCAGACACTGTACTTCCCATCTCCAGGACTCAAGTCCGGCTTGCCGGTTTCCCAGAATTCCTTCACGAATGTTACCTTGCTTACACTCCAACAGCACGTCAAGCCCTAAAAATCATTTGTCTCCATTCACTCCTTTCTAACACTCTCATGCATGCTTGCTGGAAGTCTAAGCCCCTCCCTCCAACCTTACCTAGGCCGACCCCTACCCTGCCTTCCCTCCACTACAGAATTGTATACTCTTGAAGCCATTCTGTTTCGTTCCATCCTCTCTACATGTCCAAACAATCTCAATAACCCTCCTCAGCCCTCTGGATAATAGTTTTGGTAATCCCACACCTCCTCCAAATCTCCAAACTACGGATTTTCTGCATTATATTCACACCACATATTGCCCTCAGACATGACATCTCCACTGCCTCCAGCCTTCTCCTTGTTGCAACATTTACAACCTATGCCTCACACCCATACAAGAGCATTGGTATAACTGTGCTCTTATACATTCCCCTGTTTGCTTTCATGGATAGAGTTCTTTGTTTCCACAGACTCCTCAGTGCACCACTCAATAAATAACCCATGGCTTACAAATAGCATCAAATCCATTGAGAAAATTATAACTTTGAAAAACATTATGGATCAGGCTTAGTACTTAAAAGAACTAACAAGGCCAATGGGATCAATTGTAGTTCCTCGAACTGAAGTCCTTGAAACATAGGCGAGAAAGATACCGTTTGTCGTAATTTACAACAGGAAAATTGTAGAGGGATTGATTCCATACCTGGGAGGGTGTGTCTAAGACCAGTGGAGAGAGCTGCTGAACATCGATTTGCCTCCCAGCAATTTTTTGATGGTTTGTCTTCCAGCAATATTGTGATGATTTGCCTCCCAGCAATATTGTGAGACCACAGTTTTCTTTAGCTCTTCATTATATACCTGAATTGTCTGTACAACTTTTATTTCATATAAACTGTACACAAGGGGCTGATAATATAATTTTTAGTGGAGGCGAAAGTTACACACATTTGGGCTAAATCGACGCAGCAGTCAGCAGGGATTGAGGTTGAGGCACATCTCCACTGAAGTATAACTGCTATGTTTATAATATAAGTGAGCAAGATTAGCATCTGTCAGGAAACTTACCCATACATCTTCCTACATTTTATTAGACAGTCACATAAACACATTTTGCCTTACCTAACAAGGTATGGGAAGTCCCTAGACTACGCTGATGTGTTAAGACAATCAGCTGGCCACATCATAACAGATAGTCACGATACATACCTCTATTACACAACTTGCTTGTTAAAATTTTTTTTTGTTCACTATTACCAATCACCATTCTGTTCAAAAATTATAGAAATATAGCTGACTAGATACATACATCACTATGTATGATACTGGCATATGTAATTGAAGCATAATGATAGTGAATGTTTGAGTTGTTGTGGCTGATTTATTTTAATCCACACTGAATATTCTGTTCAAAATTTTTATACAGGAGTTTTAGAATAAATTAAGCATTTTTAAGTTTTATAAGTTTGGGGAAAGATTAGTTAGATAAAAAAAAGAGCTGTGTCTAGTGGACCTAATTTGCTCTCTCTCTTTCTCTCCTTTCTCTCGGCAAGAATGGAGCCACCCAGCTGTTGGCCTGCAGGTTGAAAATACAGTGGTACCTCGAGTTACAAACTTAATTAGTTCCAGAAGGATGTTCAAGTGCCGATACCAAACGAATTTGTTCCCATAAGGAATAATGTAACTTAGATTAGTCCGTTTCAGACCCCCAAAAATACACTTACAAAAGCACTTACCAAACTACACTTACATAATTGTTCGAGTTGGGAGCTGTTCGAAACTCGAGGTACCACTGTAATTGTATAGTGTACAACGCAAATTTTTATGCATTACAGCTTCTCTTCACTTAACAATGGAGTTTCATTCCAAAGACCACATCGTTAAGCAAATTTGTGGCTAAGTGAGGAGCATACTAGTATAATAATAGTGGGTTAGTGTCAACCATCTTTGATATTGTTTTAATGTCACCTTTGCACCATATATAACATTTCTGGTATATTTTTAAATGTTTATACAGTAGTGTACTGTATATTGAAATAAACAATAGAGGAAATCAGCACTAATATACATTATTTAGGTATAAATACTGGTCAGAGCCCATCGTAAGTCCGAGGCATCAGTAAACGAGTACGTCGCTAAGTGAGGAGAGGCTGTACCTAATTTTTTATAGATGTTTGTCATGTAATATTAAGTTTTTCATGCACTATCAAGATTTTTGGTTGCACTTTCTTAATTGCTTTGCAACAAAGTCAGGTGTGAGGCTGCATTGTGAGAGGGTTTACTGTTTATATAAAAAAAATTGAGCTCATTAGTACTGTGTCTTTATTTTAAAATTGTATATCAATTTCTATATTTTAGTGGACAGAGGAAGAGGAGCAAGCTCTTAAGGCTCCTATTATTAAGCGTTTTGAGGTGGAGGGATCACCATACTTTTCTAGTGCAAGGTAAGGTTTGCCCTTATTCCAGTCCAATACTGTGCTTGGGTTATGGTACTAAATGCCCCTAGTGAATGATGGTGAAAGTGTTTCTTTTTCTGGGTCACCCTGCCTTGGTAGGAGACGGCCAGTGCATTTAAAAAAACATTTTATAATGTTTTTCCATTCGTTGTGGGTGATTGCTTCTTTACCCCATATAGGTGGGGAATTGGTGTAATAATAATGAAAAAATTTCTTATAAATCTTCTTTCAATGAACCGGCTATATCCTGCGGATTCTTATAAATACCTTCAGTATATGACATTATTTTAATTTTTAATTTACTTTAAGTTGTGGATCTTAGAAATTAAATAAATGTTTAAGCAGAATAAGAATAGGGATAGTTTCATCATTTGAACCATGACTTTTTTTAATGTGAATTGGTATATATAGAATAGTGCCATATTCTTGGTGAAAAGTATACTTAATTTTTCTTTGATTATCCTATTAAGCCTTATGCTTCATAGATATTTCGATAGCATTTATTGTGCATCACATAATCCAACTTACATCAAAGTTCAGTTGCTTGGCATAACTTTTAGCAGATATCATGGTACCAACTTGTCCACTGCTTCAAATATCATTTTTTTTTTTTTTCAACAGTCCATCCGTATCCCACTGAGGCAGGGTGACCTTAACCCTTTGAGGGTCCGTGCCATAGATCTACGGCTATACGTTGAGGGTCCAAACTGTAGATCTACACCATGAGCTCAGCTCACTCTGATAAGCTGTGAGCAGTAAATTTGGGCCTAGATATGAGAGAATACATCTATGTAGTACAGTGGACCCCCGGTTAACGATATTTTTTCACTCCAGAAGTATGTTCAGGTGCCAGTACTGACCGAATTTGTTCCCATAAGGAATATTGTGAAGTAGATTAGTCCATTTCAGAACCCCAAACTTACACGTACAAACGCACTTACATAAATACACTTATATAATTGGTCGCATTCGGAGGTGATCGTCATGCGGGGGTCCACTGTATATGTGTGCACTACATAAAACAAATCCTGCAGCACACAGTGCATAATGAGAGAAAAAAAACTGAGACCGTAATTTTCGATTAAAACAGCAACTTTGCAGTGTTTTTCGTATGTTTTTTATAGTTGTATTTGTGATTTCTTGGTCTCATTTGATAGAATGGAAGATATTTTACAGAAATAGAGATGATTTTGATTGGTTTTAGTAAGGGAAATTGGTTGAAACTGAGCTCAAAATAGCAGAAATGTTAAATTTTTGCCCATGTTCAAGAGTAAACAAATGATCCCATACATCTAATACACGCCAGCTGGTGGGTCTGATATACGTTCACAAATGTGGTGATATTATTTATACAATTATTACAGTATTGCATAAGAGTAAAATTTCTATTTTTTGGTTTGAATAAAAATTCATTTTGTGAATAAAAACTCAAAATGGAATTCATTTGTAAAGCCTGAAAACGTAACTAATGAACAGAGGAAATGTTAGTTTAGTGCCAGGAATGCCTGTATTGTTTATTCTGGACCCTATTTTGAAATTAGAATATTTTGATCTTTGCATTAAATTGGCCAAATTACCAAATTCCAATCACTTTATTTTGTAGTTGAAATAGTTGACTTGGCGATTTCTTGTGCTCAATTGATAGAATAGAAGTAATACTAGTGAAATAGCTAAGAATTTCATCGACTGGAATAATATATGTGATGCCTAGATATAGCTGACACATCAAAATTCATGAGAGCATAATTTCGTCAGTTTTCCATCAAATTTCATACTTTTTGTTTTATTACCTTCAGAAAAAGATTCTCTACCATTTCATCAGAAAAAATAACAAAATTATTTTTTGAAAATTCTTGGACATTGGTGCACACTTTGAAATTTGGCCTCTGGACCCTGAAAGGGTTAAAAAGAAAAGCAAAAGTTTTTCTTTTTATTATTTATATAGGAGAAGGGGTTACTAGCCCTTTGCTCCTGGCATTTTAATTGCCTCTTATGATATGCATGGCTTATTGAGGAAGAAAAAATTATTACGACAATGCTGTAGGCTTGAACCAACGAACTGCAACAGGAGAGTTGAAATCAAATGTAGTAAAAAAAAAATGGCCTTACTATCGTTCATGTAACGACAATGATTAGGACATTTATTGACAAATTCTTTGTTTTGGGATATTAAATAAATATAATTGTGACAGCGTCCATCTATCAGAAAAGTGTGTATAAAAAACTTAAATAAGATACATTGATGATCTTGGAGAAAGACACAAGAAAAATACTGAAGACTGTTTAACCCTTTGAGGGTCGACAGGCCCTCTCCGAAACTCGTTCTCAGGGTCGGCCAAATTTCAAAAAAAAAAAAAATTATTTTTTCTTATGAAAAAATAGAGTTTTCTTTTCTAAACATTATAGGATAAACAAAAAAAATTTACCATCATTACTTACGGAGATATGGATGCATGAAGTTTGCAGAAAATGAGCCGCGTATGGCAACAGCGGCGACTGCCGCTCACCCGGTAAATTTTGATTTACTTGTATTTGAAGGTTTGTTGTTTTTTCCACTATTTTATTTTTTCACATAACTTATGTGGCCTATGAGACCAAAGTAAGATGCAATGTACATATATACACTCGTTGTATACAACACAATAAGCACACAAACATAATTATCAATATATTGTTTACAAAACTTGTTTACAAAAACAAACAATACAAAACATTGTTTATTATTATTGTTCTATAATATATATACCAATATACAGTCACTGAACATATTCCTATTAGTTCTGCAGCTTGTGGAACTCTGAAACATGGTGTCATACACAATGGTGTTTTATCTTTCTCCCTCATTCTATCTCTTTCAATCTGTCTCTCTCTTTCTATCTGTCTGTCTATCTCTGTCTCACAGGTACACATAAATACAAGTATACATAGTATAAATTACCTAGGATAACCCAAGAAACCCAGACAAAGTGCTATACTCTGCTTGAAGATGTGAGTAAAAGTGATGATGCAGTCTTGTGGCTCTCTGAGACAGAGAGCTAGATGGATAGACAGGGAGCTTGACAGACAGGCAAATAGACAGACAGAAATGTTAGTATACCAGCAAAAACAAAGGGAGGGCGATGTTCATCTCATCTTTTGGCATCAGCTCTACCCTCATTTACCCTCATCAAACGTCAGCACTTATCAGATGTTATCTCCCCTTATCTTGTTACTGTCATGGGTGAACATTTATTATTACATATTATTATTATTACCTATTATTATTATTATGTATTATTATTATTATGTATTATTATTATGTATTATTGTTATCATTACGTATTCTTCTTCCTCCTCCTCCTCCTCCTCTTCCTCCTCCTCCTCCTCCTCCTCCTCCTCCTCTTCTTCCTCCTCCTCCTCCTCTTCTTCCTCCTCCTCCTCCTCCTCCTCCTCCTCCTCCTCCTCCTCCTCTGCCTCCTCCTCCTCCTCTTGCCTCCTCCTCCTCTGCCTCCTCCTCCTCTGCCTCCTCCTCCTCCTCCATTCTTGGAACAAGTTTGAAGAGCTTGTAGTTCATAATCACTATCATTATCATCACCAATGCTCACATCTGAGTCTGGGATTTTGGAAAATAGGAGTTTCCTCTTTGATTCTGGTACAACTGAACGACGGCCCAGCACCAGAGGTGGAAGGCTGTGGGTTGTCTGGGTTTTCCTCACTATTACCCATATTATGGTCATTAGTTTCGGTCAAAACCTCACCAGAACCTTGAAACTCATCTTCACTGTCACTTCCATCTGTATTAGAACTGTCACTGGGGAACAAAAGTGTCCCAATTCGCCGAGGAGTGAGGAACTTCTTACCGCAGGGCACGGTGGAAATTGTGTACTATGATGGCATTCCCACAATGCACCACTGGGTCCCAGATTTTTTTCCTACTGCGCACACCCACCACACAGACCCATTCTCTCACATCTAGGCTTATCAGCCTTTTCCTGCGAGATTTGAGGCCGCTAGAATTTATGCGTACTAGTACGTCAAAAAACCCTACGTGTAAGACGTACTAGTACGACCAAAACCCTCAAAGGGTTAAGAAGAGACATAGAAATATAGAGAGAAGAGAAAAAGTCCTTGGAGACGATCCTATTGAGCGAATTATTGGGTTTAGATTGCCTGGGGTTAGAAATTTTGATGTAAAAAGAATATTTTGCATGAAAGTATTCTGTATTTCAATACTTAACAGAACTCTGATGTTTTATTAAACTAAGTTTAAGTGTGAAGAACAAAAAGGCACAATACCACAACTGGAACAAATAAAAAATAACCCACACATAGGAGAGAGAAGCTTATGATGATGTTTTGATCCAACTTTGACTATTTAAAAGTTAGTGTGACTTGTAAATGGACAAGTCACACTATGTACAAGTCACACAAGTTAGTGTGACTTGTAAATGGTCTAAGTCAGACCAAAACATCATCATAAGCCTCTCTATCCTATGTGTGGGTTATTTGTGTTGGTTTAAATATACAGAAATTATTCTGTATAAAAATGGGCTCTCTGTATGGTATCATGCTGAAATAAATTATTATTATTATTATTTATATTATGCGCAGTATTCAAAAGTAAAAATTTATGTTATTCTTGAAAATCGATCTTTGTGTAATACATCTTTTTTTCGCTGCAGGTTATGGGATGACGGTGTAATCGACCCGGTGGATACCCGACACGTTCTTGGCCTGTCACTTTCAGCAGCTCTTAATGCTCCTATTCCCAAAACAACGTTCGGCATCTTTAGAATGTAACTGATGTATTACATTCTTTATTTCTGGCAGCTTTATGCTTGCCCAAATCTGGGTTTCAGACAGTGTAAATATGTATATCATAAGGTGTTTTGTACAAAAAAAAAAGCGAAAAAATTTTGTCATGCTCATGCAATTATAGAGTATATTTACAGTGATTCAACATTAAACTCTGATAGTACAATTATGATTTCAGGAGAAATGAAGTCTATAATTGCTGTTATCACTTGCAGTATTTTATTTGCATTTTTTTTTTTTTACACACACTGGCCGTCTCCTAATGAGACAGGGTACTTATCATCAGAAATTACCCACACTTCATAATTTTGTGCAACTGTAAATACCTTGCTTCAAGCAATAAATTCATTGTTTTTACAAACAGCAAAGAGTGTAATTGTGAATATTATTATTTTATGTTTAATACTCTACTTAAATTTTTATTTCAAAATTTTGGTTGAATCGTATTCATATGTATCCAGTAAGTAATTCCTGTACCTAACTGGTCCTCGCTCTAGGACCCCTATAGGTTTAGCACTTCCCCTTGATTATAATAATAATGAATGAGTGATGGTGAATATTTCCCTTTTTGAGTCACCCTACCTTAGTTGGGGAGAGAGAGAGAGAGAGAGAGAATCTTGAGTTGCATCCCAATGGTGCCGAGATGTTCGACTTTCTTGTAACAGCGTGTATTGTACAGAGAATAATCAAAACTACTGGACCTTTTATGTTGTGGCGTAAATGTTGTAGTTCGGTGGGTCGTCAGTGGCTCTTTGTGCACCTTCAGAAAGACAGCTAGAAAGCAAGTAAATTTTTCTGTGCTTTCTTCCTTACCCATGCCTCTTTGGGTAGATTCTAATATATTAACAAAGTAATCATTGCATACAGGTAAATTTTGCTAAACTTCATTTTCCAATTCTAAATTACATTAAAAAGTTATGTTATTTAAGATATATTAAGCTGGTTAATATATTTAAATTATCAGATTAAGCTGTACTAGATTATGGTATTTTAGTTTGTGACTCATATTGAAAAAATGCTGTATTTGCTAAGTGTAAATTAAATTCTGAATAGCTCACAGGAAGAACAGGACTGGAACCCATGTCAAGCCAGTCCTAGAACTAGCAGGCCAGTGCTCTACCACCAGGGGTATACATAATTTTGATGTACCTTTGATGAGTTTTCAGAGTTTTTCTATTCCCAGAGCTTGACCATGGACCAGGCTTGTCTGTTGCTTGCCTGGTTAACCAGGCTGTTGCTGCTGACTCCAGATGTTTTATAGTGTAATAATGGTAGAATTACTGACAATATGTTAGGTAAGAAGACTCAAGTGCAACGAGCACAACGTTTTATTGTGGCAACGTTTTGCTTTCTAAGAGCTTTGCTATTACGGCTCGAGAGCAAAATGTTGCCACCATAAAATGTTACATTAGTTGGACTTTTGTCCTTTTAGCAGACTCTTGAAGCATTATTATTGTTGTTATTATTATCATTATTATTATTATTATGAAAGACTTTTTGGGGGGCTTTGGCATCATCATTGTGTCACTCTGGGTAACCACTGTACCATGCTGGCCATGGGTTTGAATCCTGTCTGTTGTGCGAGTTGTTTATAATCATGCTAATAATTTAAGAGCCATAAATTATGAATCTTGGCTATTAAGAGTTATCAATTCTCAAATTACATCTAGTCAGTGAAGATTTAATATAGTATAATGTCAATATGTGTACCAATTAATAAAAATATGTACAATACTGTACAGAATTGTACATAAAAACTGGTCAGGGGCTCTTAATCCAGAGAATTGGAGCTATCCTTACATTTTTTGGATCACGTCTTATTGCCTCTGTTGTAACCTCAATGGGTTTAGTGCTTTCCCCATTCATATAATATCACAGCGTGAATAACAATTTTTATTTCGTTCAACATTAGTATTTAGGCCAAGTTATTTTGTCATTAACTGTGATTTAGAAAAATATATATATGATGATAAAGGTTGTAAATTATGGATAGAAACTTTTAAAAATATTATCATTATTTTTGTAGGTATGAGTTGATCTTGTAAATAAATTGTCATAAACCTTCCAGAGTTTGTCATATAATCAAAGAAACCTTCCAAAGTTTATCTTAATACCTAAATATAAACCTTCCAGAGTTACCATATTTTGGTATCCAAACGTACACCTTCCTGAGTTACCGTATTTTGGTATCCAAACATGCACCTTCCTGAGTTATTGTATTTTGGTATCCAAATGTACACGTTCCTGAGTTTATCATAGCATTCAAACATAATTAATGTAATAAAAATGGTCAACACAAATGAACCATTATGGAAGAAATTATTCACAAGAAGAGAATTTCTAGGTGGTGCCTTGATTGGAGAAATTGGAGCAACCCACTCTTTCATTGGTTCAGACCTGATAACCTCCCATTCCCCGGGTACTGTATGAATCTTACAGGCTTAGTGCTTCCCTGTGAAGATGATAATTGAAGTTACTCTCTCCTTCCTTGGCCTATAACCCTGGTGGATTCAGCACTTAGTTTTGATTATAATAATAATCTAACTTGAATCGAACCTTACTGCCTACCATCTTTCAGGCACTATATGATAGCATAAGTCCATTAAGAATAAAAAGGCACAGTACTGTGACTGGAACAATATGCAGACAACCCACACATGGAAGAGAGGAGCTTATGATGACTTTTGATCCGACTTGGACCATCTACAACGTCACACTGTGACTTGTCAATGGCCCTAGTCGGACTGAAACATCGTCGTAAGCTTCTCTCATCGATGTGCAAGTTACAGGTGTACCTCCATTGTACTGATATCCCAATACAACCTTTCACTATGCTCATCGCTAACAACAAGATTGGATGATAAACTGTATGGTAGTCACATAGTGAAACACCTGCAGCGTGCTGCTACAATACTTCAAATGATAGTTTTGTAGCGAACACATGCAGTGAGTTTCTACCATATGATAATTTAGGTGTCCCATAACTTGGTTTGTAGTGCACTCATCTCACACACTGAGGTCCGTGGTTTGATCCTTGGTACAGGTGGAAACATTGGGTGTGTTTCCTTACATCTGTACAAGTTCACCTAGCAGTAAGTAGGCACCTGGGTGTTAGCTGACTTGTGTGGATAGCATCCTGGGGGATAAGATTAACCCAAGTTGCTCGAAATGCTCTGCACAACCAGGGGCTCTATTTAAGCAGGCCCCTGCTTAAGCAGCAGGTTAGATTCCAGGCTACTGCTGTAAAGTGAAACACAGCCCTTTATTCACTTTCAAATGCATATAAAAGCCTGATAATATGTTTACACTATCATATATTAAGTGGGTAATAGAGCTAGGCCTAAAAAATGCATATACAGTACACACATTACTTAAAATATTTTCCTTCTTAGCTTATAGTGAGTGATCAATATATTTATTATAGGAAATCTGAATAAATGAACAATGGTATAACTGAAAATTGCTGCATTTGCGAAACACCGTAAAGTGAAGCGCTGTAAACTGGAGCCCTCCTGTACGTCACTGATGTCAGCTATGGTCTGTTTAAGTTGTATCATGTACTTGTAAAAATAAAGATTATTATTATTATAGTGGAGACAATATTTCCCAGGTACTATATAATCCCTACGGGCTTAACACTTCCCCATACTACTAATAATAAATTATTACCTGCTACCTGGAGGGTATTCCGGGGATCAACGCCCCCGCGGCCCAGTCTACGATCAGACATCCCGGTGGATCAGGGCCTGATCAAGTAGGCTGTTATTGCTGGCAGCACATGGTCCAACGTACGAGCCAGAGCCCGGCTCCATGTCACATACCATCACACAGCGTCGGTGACTTAAATCAAGTGATGCAATATGTCAGCCTGAGCTGGGGGTCCTTGAAGCCCTCCCTGGGGTGAGAGAACGGGGGTAGGGGTGAGGGAGGGGGGGAGAGAACTGAGATTAATTGCCAGCTCCAGTAACACTATGGGATGTACTGGCCAGTTCTGGCATTTTTAATACCAGGACCTTCAAGGGGTGTATATATATATATATATATATATATATATATATATATATATATATATATATATATATATATATATATATATATATATATATATATATATATATATATATATATATATATATATATTATTAACACATCTGCCGTTTCCCACCAAGGCAGGGTGGCTCGATAGAGAAAATCTTTCATCATCATTCACTCCATCACTGTCTTCCCAGAGGCGCACATACACTACAGTTATAAAACTGCAACATTAACACCCCTCCTTCAGAGTGCAGACACTGTGGTCTGGTGGCTGGTGGCCCGGTGGTCTGGTGGCTAAAGCTCCCGCTTCACACACGGAGGGCCCGGGTTCGATTCCCGGCGGGTGGAAATTCCGACACGTTTCCTTACACCTATTGTCCTGTTCACCTAGCAGCAAATAGGTACCTGGGTGTTAGTCGACTGGTGTGGGTCGCATCCTGGGGGACAAGATTAAGGACCCCAATGGAAATAAGTTAGACAGTCCTCGATGACGCACTGACTTTCTTGGGTTATCCTGGGTGGCTAACCCTCCGGGGTTAAAAATCCGAACGAAATCTTATCTTATCTTATCTTATCTCCGGGACTCGAGTCCGGCCTGCCGGTTTCCCTGACTCTCTTCATAAATGTTACCTTGCTCATACTCCAACAGCACATCAACTCCTAAAAACCAGTTGTCTGTAATCGCTCCTATCTAACACGCTCACGCATGCTTGCTGGAAATTAACCCAAGTGCCAGTGGTGGTGGTGCCAGTGGTGGTGGTGCCAGTGACGGCGGCGCGCGCGCCTACCAGTGTCTCCCTCTAAGACACCGGACACCAGTGTTGATGTAGTGCAGGTGTTGACCTGACAGTGTGCCAGCCAGCTCACCACAACACCTTCCCTCCACCCTCCAAAACCCTCCCTCCACCCTCCAAAACTCTCCTTCTATCCTCCAAAACGCTCCCTCCACTCTCCAAAACCCTCCGTCCAAAACTCTCCACCACTATACCTCTCTACTGCCTCATACAGGCGTTAACCTGCAATTCTTCTGTCGCTTGAGGCTTTTAAAATACATCTGCTAGACTTCTTTCCTGGGTGACTAGGTAGCCTGAACACCCAGGTACCTATTTACTTTTAGGAGAACAGGGATAACTGGTGTCAGGGTACTAGTACTCAGGTACCAATTTACTGCTAGTACACTAACACCCAGGTACTTGTTTATTGCTAGGATAACTTAACAGGGGTAGCAGGTATAGCACCCAGGTACCTATTTACTGCTAGGCTAACAGGGACAGCAGGTGTAGAATGATTTGCCTAAAAGCTTTCTCTTATAGTTTCAGTATATTTAGGTACCTCTGTTTCCAAACGATGTAAACAGACAACAGAATTAAATATCTATTATTTTTAAGGAGTGATTTGATAAGATAAGATAAAGGGCTCTTGAACTAAGGAACTGGAGCTATCCTTCCCTATCCATGGGGTGGGCCTAATTATCTCTAAAGGAAAATGTAGAATAAAACATTGGTGTGTCTGTGTCTAGCATTAGGAATAATATTAGGAGAGAAGTGAATAATGAAACTGAAAGTTATAGGAATGCAGTTAGAAGCCTGAGTAGATGTATAACCCACTATGATACCATGAACGTAAATAACTACGTTTATTACCTGGAGTTTACCTGGAGAGAGTTCCGGGGGTCAACGCCCCCGCGGCCCGGTCTGTGACCAGGCCTCCTTAGGTCAGTGTCCCAGGATGCGACCCACACCAGTCGACTAACACCCAGGTACCCATTTTACTGATGGGGAACATAGACAACAGGTGGAAAGAAACACGTCCAATGTTTCTACTCTGGCTGGGAATCGAACCCAGGCCCTCGCCGTGTGAAGCGAGAGCGTTAACCACCAGGCTGACTGATCTAGTGGCCAGGCTTAGGCTTGGTTACAAGTATTTCTGGCAGTTTGGGAGACAAAGTTACGTGGCCAGCCATCTATGGTCACTATCTTGAACACTATATACTGAATTGTCCACTTGCTGAGGAATATAAAGATAGGTCAAGATATCATATTATTGAAAATAAGATACCAGATATATTAAGCAAATTTCCTAAATTTGATTGTAACAGATAAGAGAACTGTACATATAAATCAAGATGGACACCTGTTAACCCTTATGGGGCCTAGTTCCTAAGCCTATTATGTATCCATATACTGTTGTGTTACCCTCCACAGGATGGATGTGAGGTGCACAATATACTAGATACTTCGGTGGCAAAATCTTAACATCTGTTTCTCTGTGGATGACATAGAAGAATTTTTAATTCGCAGTGTTACCAAAATTTGAGTCTAGAAGGAATTCTTGTTAGTTTTTAAACGACGACTCAAAACTATGACTATTATTATTAGTGGTAGTAGTATTAGTAGCAGCAGTAGTAGTAGTAGTAGTAGAAGTAGTAGTAGTAGTGACTCAAGAAATCGTAATGACACGGCCACGCTAGCTGGAGATTCGTCTGTAAAAACTTGCATTTGTGGTCACAGTGGTGCCTGTGCTAACCTTCCTATGGTGTAGAAATATACCTAGTTGGATGAATCTTATTGTGGCTAGCTGGTCTAGTGGCTAACGCGACGGGCTGGAGTTTTGAGACTCTATGACCGCGGGTTCAATCCCGGCCGGGGGTATGGTTTAGTAGTAGTAGTAGTAGTTGTAGCAGTAGCAGTAATAGTAGTAGTAGTAGTAGTTGTAGCAGTAGTAGTAGTAGTAGTAGCAGTAGTAGTAGTAGTAGCAGTAGTAGTAGCAGTAGTAGTAGTAGTAGTTGTAGCAGTAGTAGTTGTAGTAGTAGTAGTAGTAGTAGTTGTAGCAGTAGTAGTAGTAGTAGTAGTTGTAGTAGTTGTAGCAGTAGTAGTAGTAGTAGTTGTAGTAGTTGTAGCAGTAGTAGTAGCAGTAGTAGTAGTAGTAATAGTAGTAGTAACAGTAGTAGCAGCAGTAGTAATAGTAGTAGTAGTAGTAGTAGCAGTAGTAATAGTAGTAGTAGTAGTAACAGTAGTAGCAGCAGTAGTAATAGTAGTAGT